AGCTCCTAGCTCCTAGCTCCTAGCTCCCATCAATCTTCCGCAAGCTACTGTCTACTTGATTCTTTCTCCCTCTGAAAAGTGATTTCTTGTCAAAATTCTGCTTTTTTCTTTCACTGCTTCTTCAGAAATGGCGGTGGGATCGGTGTTACTCTTGCTTCTTCTTATCTGCAACTTCAATGGCGAATTGAATGCTCTGAACGAGGAAGGGCATGCTCTTTTGACTCTAAAGCAATCTATTTCCAAAGATCCAGATGGGTCTTTAAGCAATTGGAACTCCGAGAATCAAAACCCTTGTTCTTGGAACGGAGTCGCTTGTGATGATAAGAAGCTTGTTGTCTCTCTTAGCATCCCCAAGAAGAATCTTGTAGGTCATCTTCCTTCCTCTCTGGGCTTGCTCTCTAATCTCCGCCATTTGAATTTGAGAAGCAATGAGCTTAGTGGGAGCTTGCCTGTTGAGCTCTTTCAGGCTCTACGGCTTCAAAGTTTGGTTCTTTATGGGAATTCCTTATCTGGGTCTATTCCAAATGAGATTGGCGGCCTCAAATTTCTGCAAATTTTGGATTTTTCGCGTAATTCTCTGAATGGGTCGATCCCAGAATCGGTTTTGCAGTGTAAGAGGCTTAGGAACTTGGATTTGAGCGAGAATAATCTCACTGGTTCTGTACCTAGTGGATTTGGCCACGCTTTTGGTTCTTTACAGAAGCTTGACCTTTCTTTCAACAACCTCAATGGCCTCATTCCTGACGATTTGGGCAATTTGACTAGATTGCAAGGTACTCTTGATTTGTCTCATAATTCGTTTAGCGGCTCCATCCCGGCTAGCCTGGGGAACTTGCCTGAGAAAGTCTATGTGGATTTAGCTCACAACAACTTGAGTGGACCAATCCCACAAACCGGTGCTCTGGTTAACAGAGGACCAACTGCGTTCTTGGGGAATCCGAGGCTGTGTGGCCCTCCATTGAAAGATCCTTGTTTGCCAAATACAGAAACTTCTCCAACATCTTCTCACCCTTTTGTACCCGAAAACCACGACAATGGTGAAGGAGGGTCCAAGAAAAGAGGAGGTCTAAGTAAAACTGCTGTTGTTGCAATTGTGGTCTGTGATGCCATTGGAATCTGTATTGTTGGATTTCTCTTCTCTTGTTGCTACTTAAAGCTTTGCTCACGTCGTAATAGCGTGGATGAGGAAGGCTATGTGCTGGAGAAAGAAGGGAAAGAGACGAAAGGTTCTTTCTGTTTCGGAAAAGAGGGATCAGAGAGCCCTTCATCGGATAATCTTGAGCCACAACATGATCTTGTTCTGTTGGATAAACATATGGCTTTGGATTTAGATGAGCTGCTTAAGGCTTCAGCTTTCGTTCTTGGGAAAGGCGGGAATGGGATTGTGTATAAAGTTGTTCTTGAAGACGGTCTAACCGTAGCTGTCAGGAGATTGGGAGAAGGAGGATCACAAAGATGCAAGGAATTCCAAACAGAAGTCGAAGCAATTGGGAAGCTAAGGCATCCGAATATCGTTAACCTTAAAGCTTATTATTGGTCAGTCGAGGAGAAGCTTCTCATCTACGATTACATTCCTAACGGAAGTCTTGCCAATGCACTCCACGGTAATTAAATACCTTTGATGATAATAGTCTGACATCGTTTCTGTGTTAAAACTCATTTTTTGTTTATTTTATCGATTGTTAGGGAATCCTGGTATGGTGTCATTTAAGCCCCTGTCTTGGGAAATTCGGTTAAAGATAATGAGGGGAATTGCGAGAGGGCTGGTGTATCTTCACGAGTTTAGCCCCAAAAAGTATGTTCATGGATCTCTGAAACTCAGCAATATATTGCTGGGACAAGATATGGAGCCTCATATCTCGGATTTTGGACTCATGCACCTCTCTAGCATCGCCGGAACATTGGAATCAGTCACAATTGACCGAGCGTCCAACAAGAGCGCCTCATCGATTGGTCCATCTACAAACTTGGGCTCATTTTATCAGGCTCCTGAAGTCATGAAAGCAACAGTGAAGCCATCACAGAAATGGGATGTATACTCATTCGGGGTGATCTTGCTAGAGATGATAACGGGAAGATTACCGATTGTTTTTGTGGGTAAATCAGAAATGGAGATAGTGAAATGGATACAGATGTGTATCGATGAGAAGAAGGAGATGTCAGACATCTTAGATCCCTATCTGGTGCCTGATGACACAGAGATTGAAGAAGAGGTCATCGCGGTGCTCAAGATTGCAATGGCCTGCGTTAGTATTATCCCCGAGAAACGCCCACCGATGAAGCATATCGCCGATGCTTTGAACCAGATATGCCTTCACTGACTCAAAAAAAATTGCTGGTGCAAGCCAAAAGTGTGAGTATGTGTTTTAAAGAAAAGTCTTATTGTTGAGTCTGTCTCGTTCCCTTGTAATATCAAAATGTTTATGTTATTACAAATTAGAGTTTCTTTGTAACATAGCTTTACTCTTACAATGATTTCGAAGGTAAATATATATGCATAATTAAGCTTTATAAGGTTTTACATATACTGGTAAACGTATACTCATGATAAGTCTTTATTTATAGCGAAAGAGAATAATTTCCTCTGATAATATTTTGTGATCAAAAGGGAAATGTTGAACTGAAATTAGGAGGCTGTGTTCCAACGCTTTCTCTTAAAATCCTTTCTATCTCTTCTGCATTATACGTATTCCCTCCCTGTTAATTATCACAATTATTATACTATACAAAACCATGAAGTAATGTATAATCATGTCATATGTGATAATTACCTGAAACATATCCGTTGGCTCTATATCTATAGAATTAAGGTCGTAATATGCACTGGCCGCTGAGAGTTTCATGGACAAAAACTGCAATCACGAGGCCATACAAGACCATTTAATTATTGAATATTATCATTGGGTTAATATAAAAGTTAATGGGAATTTTTGGGAGTGAAATGTATAAATTAGATTGGCTTAACCTCGATTTGATTCTGCAGTGAACGAACATAATCTATGATGACATCAAGCATCACTGCCATTCCCATTGCCTGCATCATGTTTGAATATTATTAAAAGAAATAAATCCACTATGATTGATTATACTTTATAGGTTAGCCACAGTCTCTTTAGTTAAAAGTAAAACCAATCATTTCCATGTAAATATTAAATAATATGAACTTTTTCCCTTAAACCTGTAAATACTAAAACTGGAGGAACGGAATTTAACGAAAGAAGAAGAGCATACAAATATTTTAATTGTAAGAAAAATAACTTCAAAAATATCATAAAAGTAAAAATTTTATATTTATCACACATTTTTATAAGCATGAGTAAACGTTAAAAAGTAACACCATATATTTGGTATTTGGTAGAATTTTCATCAGAGTGAGTTTGTTTTAGAGTTTTGTTGATTTTTTAACTAAACAAAATTAGGGTTTTTTGTGGCAAAATTCAACTTCAATTACCTTGTAGCATCCTGGAACAAGGTCTTGTAAGCATTTCAACCTATCATTTATCTTCTCTCTTCGTACCTTTATACATTTACACAAAGAATCCAAAGTCATGACAATTTTATCCATATATAAATGAACCGCAGAAAACTATAAAAAAAAGTTGTGCATTTGAGTATATATTTGTTGAATTTTACCCTTTCAGCCAAACTATGGCTATCAGTAGCTTGACCTCTCTTAGCTCGGACATGAACAACATCTCTTGTCTTTGGATCAATGCCATCTTCAGTATTCATGGCTTCTTCCTCCTCCGACCTCTTTCTTTTTCTCCTCGACCCACTCTCTTCTTTTTTCCCTTTTCTTCCCGAATCACCTGCCATTTTCTAGCTTCATCACGTAAAAGAACTAATACATGATTTTATGGAGGTTTAGCCACCAAAAATAAATAAAAAATTCACCGTGCAATAAGTTGGGAGAGAAGTGAGAATTATTGTGATGGGCATCAACAAGAGCTCCATTGGAAAAAAGCATGAAACTGGAAGGAGTAGAACCTGTTGAGTCTAGATTTATTAGCTCTGGATTTTGGTTAATTTGTGCTAACAAAGGATTAAGATCAACGTTATACTTATATGGCTCAAACCGTGCCATTAGATACTCTACAATCCAAATATGATTTAACCTTTTTTAGTGAGTTTTGTTTTTTCTCTAAGACAGTTATAAGACTTTCAATGGAGTTGCGATTGTTTATATAGATAGAGATTTAGACACTGGATCAATTATTAGTTTAATTAGGTTTTAGTTTTTAAAATTGATTTGATAAATTGTTTCTGTAATGTGTGACTTGTGAGGATGAGAAAGAAGCGTGTGAGAGCAAAGAGACACTCGTAACTAGCTTTCCATTTACCACTGTGCAGTAGATTTTGTGGGACCCATGTTCAATGTTAGATATATCTAACTTGCCGGGACCTTTTGAGTATCCCTTTTAATGTAATAAGTATGGTGCCAAATTGAAACAGAAGAATTGCAATAATGGTTGACGAGTGATCATCACAAGTTTTGCATCATTAGGCTATTAGACAAAACTTAAGTACGACGACTTAACATTAAACGGCTAACCAGTGCTGTGCCTAGGGTATCAGGGGCCTGTGGCAAAAAAAATCGTTCATTTTACTTTAAATAATAGTAAAGTGATAATTTTTTTGTTATATAAATATCTTATCTCTGATTTTGGAATTTTTTTTATGAGATTGTTTTTTTAAAATATTATACAAATGTTTTATTTCTGATGTTGGAATTATTTTATTAAAAAATTATAATTATTTTGGTTTTTGTTACACAAATGTCTTATTTTATCAAAAAAAAAATATTATAAATATGAATAACATAGAGAAGATGCTTCTAACATTAAAAAAACAAGTTATAAGAGAAGTTAATACCCATAGTAATATATAAAAAGGTTCCGATTAGTGAACAAATCATACTGTATTTCATCTTCTCTATATGTCTATTTTGAATGTGGGGCCAAAAATTTGACAATGTGAGATGGGGCCTCAGGCCAATGCCTCAAAATATGTAAGACCATCTCCAGTAGGAAGGCAAATTTCC